CATTTATTAACACAAGCGTTGAGGTTTGCTTGGAAAACAAATTCTCCCCAACTTTCTTTTTTCCTATTCGCTTTTAAGGGATGTTTAGGCTTCCCACCCAAACAAATTCCTGGTGTTCTTTCCCATAACCAACACGCTTGACAAGCAAACGTCCCGTTATTCTAATGCAAAGTGAGGCACGCTGATAGCGAGTCTCCTTGATAAAGAGATGAATAGAAAGCTCCTCTTTTTTTGCATTGCACAGTTTCTATTCAGCCTGGATGAATAGATGCTTCAAAACCAGTCTGGGTTTCCAATCAGAGATGAGCTCTGGGGTCAGCAACGGCTGCTTCAAGCACTTTATATCCAGCTAAGATGTTTTCCACTTGGTGGTTGAGTTCCTGCTCCAGGGTTTCTCACACAAATTATGTTTTATTTGCTAAACACCAAAATCAAACTGCCGTATAATGAGGTTTAAGTCTTGCATAAAGTGTGTTTTCACCATGTGTGTCATGATGACTGATAATGATGTTAGGAATCAAATGAAGAATTGTGATGTATTGGGTTGGTGGTGTCATGCTGTGGGCTATTTAAAAAAAAATCAAAACCTTTTAGCTGAACTTTAAGGTTGTTGTTCAAACTGGACTTTTATTCCACTGTTTTTAATGTAGATGGGAGGTCTTCAACAGGGGGTCCGTGACCCCTAGGGGGTCCACAGGGGTACTGCATGGGGGTCACGAAAGTTTTAGTTGATTAGACTTTTATTTATATTTCCCCCTGCATTTTTTTCCACTAACTGAAATGTCGTTAAATACACATTAACATGAACTCAACACACTGTAGTAAACAGATAAATGGAGGTAGAAGATGACAGTGACACACAGGAGCTCTTTCAAACAGGGCACCATTTCATTCACAACACCTGTCCCATCAACCAGGAATCAAAATCAGAAATACTTGAATAATCTTTATAAAAGTAATAAGTTACTTTCATTACATCACTCCATATGTAATAGAGTGACTATAGGACCAGTTTGATATAACACAATTTCATACTATATTTATATAATTATAGGGTCCCCACTCCATCAGTTCTGGGGTCCTTGGCCTGGAAAACGTTGAAGGCCTCTGATGTAGATAAAGTTTCTAGAATGGCCTTCCCTAAGTCGTCCTTCCCCTTGTGTTTGATGCATGTCTGTTTTAGTATAACCCATCTGAGACTTCCCTTTCTGAAGCAGTGTTTTTCTCCTGTGCTCCACATCTCCTCTATTCTTTATTTATTGATTTTTTTCTTTTTAATTCCCCTTTTCCCAAAACATAAGCTACTCTGCCGCTGGTCAGGAGCACTAAGAACACAGAGAACAGACAAAAAAAAAGGATTCACCCCAGGTTCATGTATTTCATGCCGGAAATTAAAGGAAAATGTCTTCCTTTTTTTATTTAGTTATGTTTTTTATGAATCAAATGAAAAGCAGCAGCCCCAAGGTGACTCTCGTTCTTTCAGCAGAGATCAGAGTGTGGTGTTTATCTCCAGGCTCTTCATGGCTGGCCTTGGTCGGTATTGTTTCCTTGACAGAGGAGTATGAATGAATCACCTCTCTGTCAGACTTGTGCAGCTGCTGCAGGATTTATCAATACACCTGTGTACAAGTGGGAAAAAGATGTTTCACTTATAGTGATATGATTGAAGTGGGAAGAACAACAGAGATAAGTCTGCTGCATTTATCTGTCTTTGTGTATCACAGAAATGAATCAGTCCACTTTCTGGTTTGTTTGTCATTAAAATCACACTACATCAAAATTCAGTTCACTTTGGTTAAATTAATTAATATATGATCAAAGTTTCTATCACCAAATCATTCAAAAATGTTTATGATTCAGGTTGGTATAGGGATTATAATAGTGCTTAGCATCAGTTTTATTCTCTTATTTTGCCTTTGATCTCATCCCCATTGTGGGAAAATAAATGCATTTTCTATTCTATTCTATTCTATGTACTGTATTATAAGAAGTTTCAATAAAAAAAAAATATTAGCTCATCAGGAGAGAGGGTCGTTTAGTTTACCTTGTAAGGTTGCAGCTTAGCCCTTTATAGGGAACTCAGTGAAATACTTTGAAAATCCACATTTCAAGCCAATAGTGTTACTGGAATCCAGGACAAGGCATTATTACATTTGTAACATTTTGATGGCAAAAATGAATGTCAATGTAATAACATGAAAAGCCAAGTTGCCATAAATATATTCAGAAAAATAACAAAAAAAATAAGTGCTTCTATAAGAAGTTCATGGAAAACAATCTGAGAGTGAAATAAACACATTTCTTTGGTCTAACTTAACCTTAGAGGCATTAATGCTGATACTGGCACTTACTTTTTTTTTTGTTTATAAAGCTAAATATAATTGTTAACTAGGCTTATTAACTTTTTAAACTGTTCAATTAACTTTTTACCTTGATTTTTAACTTTTTAATTAACTTTTTACCTTTTTTTCTTGACCTGTTTACTTTTTTTTTACTGAATTTACAGTAGGAAATATATAATTTAAGGGCTTATCTAATTGGTCAAATGTCAAAATAAGACGTACAGCCATGTAGCAGGATCTGTGCTGAATGGCTGGATATAGATATTGTGCTTCTAGACCTCACTGAGGGACGGAGGGGGGAGGACTCCATTTCTAAGGGTTATAATAGTGATCAGAAATTATACCTTGCTCTATAAAGGGTTAAGATCTTTTTTTGTGATTTAAGTTTAGTTTGGTGATCCTAAATCTGTAATGAATCAATATGTTACAGTGGTAAAAATCATTTCCCCCTTATATTAAGTGTATAAAAAATGTCAAAACTTTCTAACAGTAACTTTTTCTGAATGTATGTTTTTTTTTTTTTGCCAGATTTACGCAAATAAATAAATTATCCACCCAAAAACAATTCTCAGTATAAATGTATTCATATAAGCCAAACTAATGCAGCATGAAATTGAAGCATTTTTACTGCTGTAACAGTGCAGAGTTTTTAAATGATTTTCTGCTTCATTTTGGTGTCATCAGTGCCGTCACAGAGGGAGTTCAGCTCCCTGACAGAGTTTAATCACCTGACCCTTAGTAAACCGTGGCTCATTAACTGGACTGTCCAGATGCACACATCATTAAACCTTCACTTTTATTTATGGAAGAACACATGCAGCATTTCTCATCTAAACCTCTTAAGCGTTTGTTGCCTTCTTTCAGCTTTGATTGGAAAGAGTCCCATCCGGGGGCCTTTATGTTCATCAACAATGGAAACTCAATTTATTAAATACTCAAGACATCTGAACTTTAAATTAATGTATATAAATCTTGTGCAAAGTTGGCTGTTAATTAGGACAAATCATAGTTAAAAATCATATTGCTTTAAGGGTTGATTATAACTTAGACTTAGAGACTTAGACAAACTGTATTGTAATTTTGTATATGCAGAGTATTTTAAACATTTTCACCTATACTATGTGCTATATAAGTGAAGTTTAATTTATACAGCTTTTAGACAGTGAATTAGCAGCAGCTTAGCAGCGAAAAAGAACATTTCCATTCATAAGGTGCAGCAGTTATTGAATGCAAACAGTGTGGGAGAGAAATGGTGCAAAAAGGAAGTTCAGAGCAGTGCAAAATAAATAAAACAATATGGTGCAAAAAAATGCAGTAGAAAACATTTGAGCTGAATTGTATTAGGTAGGATGTTATCAGTGTGACTTGATTTTGAGTTTTATTAACATTTTTTGCAGTCTGACGGCTGTGGGGAAAAAGCTGTTACAGAACTGTAACAGTTACATATGTTCTATTGATGTAACGTTTTGTTTTTTATCACCATTTATGGTTTTATAATCTTTAATACTTTATTTAACTAAATTGTTATGAAATGTTAATTAACTATTTTTTTAACTACCTGCTTTAATAATGTTTTATCTTTACTTGCTTTTATTCTGCAGTTATTTCCATTCTGTTGAATCCTGAACTGTGCAATGCAGATAAAGTTGCCATACCATATTTTAATTATTTATTTACTACTTTCTCTATCATGCTGTTATTTCTTCTGTCGTGTTTAAAAATAATATATTATGTGCGATCTAAGTGGCTTGTATGGAAGAGGATTAGGCCCACTGAAAGAGTAAACAAAAGTTAACATATTTAAAACATTTATTTCAGTTTAATATGGGAAGAAGGTCAGAATCCTGACTTCAAACTTAGAATTCTGACTTTAATCTCAGAACTCTGACTTTTTTTCTGAGAATTCTGACTGAATTCTGACAGCTAACGAACATGTTAGCATCAAGGTATATAGCCATGTCAGAATTACCAGAAAAAAGTCAGAATTCTGCGATTAATGACAGGATTCTGCGAAAAAAGTCAGAATTTTTAGATTAAAGTTAGAATTCTAAGATTAAAATCAGGATTCTTAGAAAAAAAAGTAAAAATACTGAGAAAAAAGTCAGAATTCTGAGATTAAAATCAGAATTCTGAGATTAAAGTCAGAATTCTGAGATTAAAGTCAGAATTCTAAGATTAAAGGCAGAATTCTGAGATTAAAGTCAGAATTCTAGTTAAAGGCAGAATTCTGAGATTAAAGTCAGAATTCTGAGAAAAAAGTCAGAATTCTGAGATTAAAGGCAGAATTCTGAGATTGAAGTCAGAATTCTGAGAAAAAAGTCAGAATTTTGAGATTAAAGGCAGAATTCTGAGATTAGAGACAGAATTCTGAGATTAAAGTCAGGATTCTGAGGGGGGAAAAAATCTGAATTCTGACTTTTTTCCAACATTAAACTGAAATAATATTTAAAAATAAGCTAACTTTTTATGTTTTTTAGTGGCCCTAATCTCTTCCGTAGGCTTATTTTAACTCATTAGATAAAATTATGAATATTACTAATTAAATGTTATCAATAATGCAATTTCATTTAATACTATGTGTGTACGTGCTGACGCACCTGAGTTGTGGCCCTGCCCCTTTAATGACATCACCCACTCTCCTCCGGCAGAGTGTCTCGTGCAGCAGTTCTTCGTTAGACCGGAGCAGGGATGGCCAGTGTCGGGACGTCTACTCTGTTTTTTCCCCTCAAAAACTCCCTCCATTATAAGTAAAATGTATTAAACTCTTTGTTTTTAGCTCCGTATTTGCTTCCCGCTGTTTCCAGAAAACTAATGAGTCGAGGAGAAGCCGTAAAAGAGAGGCAGCGGAGTAGCGGTCCTCCTCCCCGTCAGCTCCCGATACTTTGTGCTGTGAGCGCTTCCAGCGAGCAAGAGGTCAGTTCAAATTATCGCAGAATATACCTTTTACTGCCTGGTTTTCTAACAGCAGCCTTTTCTGTCCCCAACCGTTATGTTTATTCAGCCCTGCAGTTTGTTTAGATCAATTCGGCTCCGCTTCACTGACACATTTCTGTATTCTGATCTGTATAATTAGACATATCTGCTCTGCATTGTCTGAAATGCTGCTTTACATTAAGTTAGAAGTTATAGAACATAATATTCCTCTTTTATTTTCTCTAAATACTTGTTTTGCTTTGATGGAACGTATATTTTACATAATATCTGCCTAATATCTATAGTAATTATATTTAATTGTATAATGACACATTTGTTGTCAGAAATAGAGGTGCAGGGAATCTGACAGGAATGTCAACAGCACTAAAATGCGTGTGAATATTATTGTTCAGAGCTTCTCTGTTGTGCCAAGAAGGTCATCTGATAAGCTGAAAATCCTCTGTCTCTGCCACAAGCTTTTTCTTCACCATCTTCCCCCTAATTTGTCTTTCTCTCTTCATCCCCTGGTTCCTCTTCCTCCTCAGCTCAAGGACTCATTCTTCCTCCTAAATCCTGCAGACAGCTCTTCCTTCATTTCCTTATTTTTCTCCTAACATTTTTCCATCCTTTATTCCCTTTTTCGGTTCTTTCCTCTGGTTCCTACTTCCTCAATAAATGGTGCAGCAACATTTCCAGGTGGAAACTATCAGTTTGTGTAAAACAAAAATACTTAAAAACAGGAAATGATGCTATAACTTCATCAGATTGAACTAGTTTGAGAAAAAGCTGCTGTAATTTCCTCAGAACTGATCACTTTTAAAGCCTGAAAGATATTTTTGGGCTATATGAATGACAACAGCAGCTGTAATAGATATTCTAGGTGGTGTTTGAGGCTAATAGGATGAAGCCAGTTTATAACTTATGGCTTTATTGTTTCTGCAAAAAATATACATTCACAGCTTAGTTATTCTTCTGACCTAAATCTAAATGTGAGATCAGTTTCACGTATATTAATATGCATAAGGAAATGTATTCAAGGTTACTATTTTATTTTTTATGCTTTGCATCTTGGTTCTCTAAATCTCCACAACACGAGATGAAGAGAAAGTTTTCCAAGCTGTTTAAAAACTAAAACTCTTGCAAATATGAGACATAAATCGATTAGTCAGCTTTTCTACTGCTCTCCAAGTCATTTAAAAAAACATTCCTTCCTACAAAGAAAAGGGCTTTGGATCAATTTTCCTCTCAAAATCCGGATAGCACCATCATTTATGAGTCATAGTGATGGGAATCGAAAACCGATTCCTGTCCAGAACCGGTTCCATGTGTTCCAATTCCATGGCACCGTTTGGCAGCTCGCTTAACGATTCTCTTAACGATTCCAAGCAGCACCAGAGCCTAACGCTGGGTGGCATGACTTACGTCATTTTTACGCCAGTTAAGCACATGACATTCAGTAAGCACTTACGATGTGACCAGGCGTCAGTCTAGAAAAGCAAAACAAAAGCGCTCAAAGCCATCGAAAGATTGGCTTCATTTTAAGGAAGAGAAAGATGGCAACAAAGTGCAAAGTGGCAATTACATCAGCGGGAGGAAATACATCCACATCCACTCAACATGGCATACTTTTTAACGAATGCTGTGTTTTTTATGCTTCCGAACAAAAGCTAAAGTTACGACCAGCATGGAAGTCAACTCTGCTGGTAAGTAGCTAGTTTTAAATCACTGGATGTGCTTAATGTGGTTCCTAGTAAATCAGATGCCATTTCTGGAAATAAACCAGTTTCCTACCTCTCTTTGGGGTATTAAACATGCTACGAAGTTGCTCCGCAGTTTAGGGAGCGAGAGAAAGGTGCGGCTCTTTTATTGAAATCCAGGGGGAGATAAGTTTATTTATTTTTATTTATTTAAATTGTACAGTAATGCCTTCTCATTAAATAGATGCCTTCTCCATTAGATGTTGATGACTGTGACGAGACGGGTAGCCTGGCTGGCTCAGAGGCTGGCAGCTCCCGTTCACTGCCTTCTGTTTTTGCCGAGGCAGGCAGAAATAGAATGTCTCTGGCGAAGGTAGACGAATTTCACCGTGCACTTACCAAGTTCATTGTTTCACAGAATCGATAAGAGAATCGTAATCGTGAAAATTTTATCAATTCCCAGCCCTAATGAGCCATGTAGGGTTTTTAACAGAGGAAGACAACCATTATTTGCTGTAAAAAGCAAAAAACAACTTCTCCTCTTCGCAGAAAAGACCTTTCTAAGGGGATTATGTGGAACAAATAAGTTTGCTGCTTATGAGTGAGCACTCCTACTTTATTTAAAGATTTATAATGAGAAGGGGGGCCTCTCTTCACCTACCATAAACCGCCTCTAGCACCTATTAGCGGTTTTATAGGACCTCCATTAACTTTAATTTAATTAGATCTTTTATGGTTGATATAGTTGTGCTGATATCCTTGTTGGCTCCAGTTCTTAGAGCGGATCATGCTGCTGTGAAACCAATCCTTTGAATGGACCCTGGAACCTGACCCTGAAGACAAAACAAGAGCTCAAACCCCAAGACAAAAGGTTTTGCAAATGTCTCCTGGAGCTACAAGGCGTAGTGAGGAGGTGTAGGTGTACAACAACATTTAAAAACAATCAGCAGCAGAAAACCCATGAGAAAGATTTATTTTTTAAGCTTTTTTAGATATTGATCAACACCGTAAGGGTATTTGAATCGTTCTCTGTGAAACAGAAGATGTGAATTTTATTACCTTTTAGTGTTTTAGCAGAAAACTATATGATATTTATTGATATGTAAGAGCTAGGTTTTGAAATGTTTAAAATAAAATTAACATCAGTTTCTAGCTGCAGACTTTGTTTTGTGCTCCTTATAACATCTATAACTTCTAGGAGAGGAACACTGGTTGTGTTGTATATTTGTGTGGATATGAGGAACTTTGAGCTTTCAAACTCAAATTATATTGTATTGAAAGAGATATTCTGCTTATTAACAGAGATATCTGTTGATGTGCCTCATTTTCAGCAGCTAAGATGTTAAAAAACAACAACTTTTCCTTCAGTTTCCGGCTTCTAGAAGCGGTTCTTGTAATAACAGTCACTCAGGGACTAGGGGCAGCCGGCTCGCGGTTAATTAAACTCTCTGACATGCTCACCGCTCCTCGGATCTCCCAGCCTGACTTAAAATGAGTTCATAACACACATGTCTCGGATTTGAGCCCAATCCCTTGTTTGCATTTTTGCCCAGCGTCAAACTCACAAGCTGGAAACCTCCCGGCTGATATCGTGGAAAACTTAAGGAATCTGTTTCTGCTTGGCTTCTGCAGATTAAACAAAACAAGCAGGAGTTTCAGCTTTTTCCAGGGAGCTAATTTTGCTATTGATCCGACCCATTGAACAGCAGATTACGGTTCCTCCGTCATGTTATTGATGAACCTCCCGTTCACCTCGTCCTCTATTTATCTTTGACCACTTTAGACGACATCTCTGTCTGAGTTTTGCTCATTGATCACACCTCAATGACGCTCATCTTCTCCTCAGAGGGAGGCTGCAGGACGAGGACCGGTTCGCTTCCCTGGATTTCTCCTTAGGAGGAAATCAATCCATACTTATGGAGGACAAAGTCAAAGAGACAGGAAACAATTTAGATTTAGATAAAACCCAGTTCAGTCCAGAGTTAATCGGGTTGGTGTGGATTTATGAGCAGAGGACAGGAGGACGGAACCAAAATACCTAAAACTGCAGAGGAGGATGTTTGCAGATTTAGATGAGGATAAAGGATATCATTAAGATTCCTCATTATCAGTCCTCATACTGAAGAAAATCCAAGAATCAGTTTCGGTAAAAATGCGTTTGATTAATAGGAGCAGATCTATTCAGTCTATTTCTATAATAGATTTAAACTCTGGACGTCTGAATTTCTATACATATTTATATATCTGTATATATAAGGGCTGAAACAGTAATCAGATTAATAGTGATTGATCGATTAGTGAAAAAAAGTTGTAAAAAAAAGTATGTAAACAAAGATTAAAAAAGAACATTGTCTTTTGTCACTATACTCTATCCATAACACCTTAAGTGGAAAAGTTTGAGTTTTAACTGGTAAAAAATCTCCTTTAAGGAACCTTTGGTTATCCGATTATCTATTAATCAATTAATCAAAAACATAATCAACAGATTAATATGTATATATATATATATGTATATGTATAAAAACATGTGTTTTTCCTTTAAGTAGACACAAATTGACATTCACCCTTAGGGACCAGCTGTAAGTGAAAAAATAGCTTCCCAAAGGTTCTTAGGTCCAAACTGAATGGGAATTACCTGGCACTGAGGGGAATGGGCATTTTTTCTTGCTGTGGATGTAATACAAAGAATTTGTTGCATATTTGCAACAATGAGAGTCAAGGGGGTTAGGTGAGGTTAAAAATCTCTTTAACAGAAGGAAAGTTTGCCCCTTTATGGGCATCCGTCTTTTATTAAATGGATACAGTCAGTTTGAGCATTTAGCCTTGTTTTCAGGATGGATTTTGACCTTTTAAAATATTCTATTGATTTTATGACTTCCTTTTCTGACCTTATACTAACCTTTTGTGATTTACATGTGTACATTAGTAGAGTTTATGATAGCCATTTAAAAAGTCATCAGTAAAAATGATAACATTGAAGCAAACAGAGATCTATTGTGGGGAAAGTATCAGGACCTACAGATATCCAGATTAACGTGTTGGATTAGTAGTGGAAAAAAAGCGGATGGATGCATCACCTAAACGACAGGATGAATTTTTATACCGAACCAGAATGTATTGTGGATGTTTTTCCTGTTTTCTGTCTGGACAGATCCAGATCTTGCCTCTTCTGTCCTGGGAATAATGACTCATCAGAGTGAGGATGGATTAACTCTGTAACCTAATCTAGATTAAGTCAAAGATGATCGACAGGAGACACTATACAGTATTTTTTTGGCCAAACAAACTTCTTGGAACGTAATTTTTAAATATTTAAACTGCCTCTTAAATCTTGATATTGGGACTGACGGGTAATAGTGCGTTTTAATGTTTTCCCCATCAGATTTATTCTTTCTTGTTGCATTTAAACTCTGGCTCTTCTTCAGCATCTATAGAAAGAGGCAGCAGATTAAACTTCAGGTAAAACCTGCTGCAGCTGACGTTCATTAAGCAGATTAAGTTCAGAAACATGACAGCCCGTCCTCTGAGTAAAACATTAGTGCTTAAATGTAAAGAGCTTATAAATGCATTTATTGGGGACTGACTTCTAAAACCCTCTAAAGCCTGGAGCTGCATTGTGAGTTAGAGGTCTGCTCGTTTTAATGGCTAAACTCCCTCCTGATAAATAAAATAATGAGATCTAAGTGGAGCCCTGACACTCTCTGCCTGAAGGTTCATACTTTCTAACTCACGGATTGCTGCTCTGAATACTAACTGTGACGCTTTATTTTATGAAAACAAACACCTGTGTGAGCATTAGAGCCCTCCTCTAATGAGCATAATCAGTTGAAGGCTTTTTCACAGCAGCTCCTGCAGCCTGCGTCACTTAAATCAAATTAAAACGCCGTCATTAGTGTGTAAATACACAACTGTCCCCACTGTTTATGCTCGCCGCACCCTGCAGGACTAATGAAGGCACTTGGGAAGTTTTGCATCCAAACAATTTTCTTGCTGCGTTTCTAATGAGATTAGAGTCCTGCTCTGATTTGGGGTTTCAGTGGAGTCAAGAAGTTGTTGTCTGCTTTAGTGCCATCATGAGGGAAAACAAACAGTTTTAAAAGATGAAATTGTTTACGATGGCAAATAAAACAATGTTTGTCTCTGGGTTCCTTTAAAAGTCGGTGAATAAATGCGGATCAGGCAGGATTTTTCTGACTGCACTGATTCACAGTATAAATCTCATCTGGTTGCTTTGCTATGGCTCATTCCTGCAGCTCTGCTGCTACTTTCATTGATTCAGAAAAACGCTAATTTCTCTCCTAACATCATTTCCCGGTGCTGCAGCTCCGACCTTTAGCTTGGTTGCCGATCTAGAAAATTAGCAGCAGGCTTTGGAAGTTGTTTTAGTTTTGCTTGAGTGCACATGTGAGCCTCCATGCTGAAATCCTTTGTGTGTTTGTATCCCGTCCAGACTAAAAAGCTGCCAATGACTTCATGAGCGGCGGCCATGGCAGCCCATCGAATCGTTCGAGTGAACAACAATCACATCCTCCCTCGCTGTAAGTCTGAGGGGACGCTCATCGACCTAAGTGAAGGCACAGCCGGGGCCAGCCTCAATGATGTGAAAGGTCAGTGTCTCATTCCACCACAGTTATAATCTCAGTTATAGACAGATTCAGATGAGCTCCGGAAAATTCACTGTTATCCAGATCTGGAAATGTGTGGAAGAGAAGAAGTGTCATATAACCATCTGCCAAAAAAACTCAATGTGAGTTTTAGTATTTACTGTTTTATTACAAAAGTAAAGAACTTAAACTACATTCACACCTAAAGCAGCAGAGGCAGCAGGAGCAGCCAGTTTACAAGCAAAGTCAGTGGTTAATGTGCATCAAGGCGCAGATAAAAAACGTCCTGACAAGCATCTGACGAGCTCGATGCGCTTCAGAAGCAGCAGATGCTGGATTTAGAAAAATTGAACTTTTCCTACCTGAGGCGCCACATCAACCAATCAGAGAAGCTGATCTGGGACCTGGCAGGGAGACGGACAAAGTGCTGCTCATGCAGATAGCTGTGATCACTCCTCTAAAATGTTGAGTTTAACGTTTATTAAAGTACCTGCCGGTAAAATATGTTTGCTTTTATTATTCTGGTGCAATTTGGATTACTTACATGAAAAAAGACCACTAGCGGTAAACCGTGTGGAGGCAACCAGGCCAAAGGCTACTGTTGAACTGGGTTCCTAGTGACACCGCCTGTGTACGGGAGTCTGAGCGGCTCCAACAGACACTTCTTGTTGCCTGGTCACATTGTACAGACAATCTGGATGAACTGACTGCACAGGGGAAGTTTTCAGGTGGACTTTCTCACTTCAAAATAGATTCAAACTACTTTTTACCCACTGATCAGTACAAATATAGCTGTGATTGTTACAGGTAAAGAAAGGATAGGGTAGCTCCGCCCAACGCGCATCAGACCCACTTGTCCACCGCACAGCCAGAGCAGCAAAGACCCTTCAGCCGCACGTCAGAACTAAACTTGTACAAGCATAAAAAATGAAGCAGCATGCGCGTTTTTGCTGCCTCTGCAAAATTTCGTCTGGAATAGCTATTCTTCTACATCAGCAGTGGGCAATTCCAGTTCCTGAGGGCCAGTATCCTGCAACTTTTAGATGTGACTCTGGTTCAACACACCTGAATCAAGTAATTAGATTACTGAGAGGACTGAAGGAACTGACTGCATACTGAGGAGGCAAGTCAGCCCTATGATTCAGGTGTGTTGGACCAAGGATGAATCTAAAAGTTGCAGGATACCGGCCCTCAGGAACTGGAATTGCCGACCCCTGTTCTACATGGAAATAGTTCTGCCCCCTTGGTAACTGTTCCAGATAAATTACCCCCAAAAACTTTACAGAGCATAAAAAAATTATTTGTTTTTTGACTTGAACCCAATGCTAAGGAGGACCGACAACAGCAGTGACCTCAGAGAAGGAAGCGTTGCTCTATTTCAATCAAGGAAGGTTTATAAGGCTGCTAGTAAACTATATGAATTCCATCATTCAGAGACAAGTTTATTCACAGGTAGACAATATTTAAAACATGTAGAGATCGTTCTAGGAATGGACATCTCTGCAGAAACACTCCAAGGTCAGACAATAAAATGCTTAGATAAATGATAAAAAAAAGGATAGTGTGCTTTGTTAAATTATCATTACGTGATAATTTAACAAAGCAAGTACAGCTTGTTAAAGACAAGGAGAAAATGTTTTTTCTTTAAAACAGAACAGGTACTTTTGGTCCTGAATGAAGAACAAGGCTTGTAGAAAAATGTTTCTGTGGGTAAAATCCTCAGCTCCCAGTTTAGAGAAAATCAAACACAGCAAATCAGGAAAAACACGCCTATTCAGCACGGAAGAGGGGAGCCGATCATAGGGCCTGTTTTACTGCCACCTCCCCTTATAAACTCCTCTTTATAGCATACTATTCTAGAGTCCAACAGCTGTCAAAAGAAAAGCTAAAAATTCTAGAATTTGCAGAAAAAAGTCCAACCTTATCCTTAACCTGAGACGTTTTGGTGGGATTTAAAGTTCACAAACAAAAAAACACATAAAAAACACATAAAGGCCCAGTATGTCAGCCAGTGACAAATGCTGCAATGCTGTAATATATATTGAAATATTGGAAATGTCTTTAAAGGTCATATCACCCTTATTCAATAAAACAGAATTGCATTAAATATATGTATTGAATTAGTGTCGACCTGTGCTGCAAACCTTAATGAACCCTAATTAAGATAAAAGAGAAAAATCCTCCTAAACGATACGTGAAGCAGACGTATGAGTACTGAAGGTTAGTGCTGCTAAAGCTGGCTCTAAAACCTGTGAAGTTAGAGGTCAACTTACAGCTTCTGCATTTTAGCTCAGACAAACAATAAACATGAATCTGTTTTTTGTTTGGTTCAATCAGCTTTAGATATAAATACCTAAAAAATGTATCATCGTGTTCTGATAATCAACATTAAGGGAAAGTTAAATTAAATCGCACATTTTAGGAGCAAGAGAAATTAAATTGCAAAAGGAAAACACACAGGCAGAGGTACTTTGTTAGATAATTGAAGAAGAATAAAATTATCAATAATAAAATAAAAGAAAATTGGATTTGAAATTAAACTGAAAAGGTTTAGGCAGCACAGCCCAAGGCTACTTTAAACAACTAAGTTTTAAATCTGGATTTAAAGCAGATTTCTGTGAAAACTTAGACAAACTTCTGTTTGAGCCAATTTTTCGCCGCCTCTTTGGTTTAACTTGTTTGTTATTTTAGTGTTTGATGACGATTTGAGGCCTGCTTACTGCTAATAAGTGGAGTTAGCCCAAGACAGACCTGAGCAGAGACTGAACAAACATGGCTGTGCTCTCCTTTCTTCCAGTGCCTTCTCCCAGTGCCTTAAAGCTCGACACTCAAGACTCGCTTGGAGCTGCGCAGGAAGTGGTCGCTATTAAGGATTACTGCCCAAGCAGCTTCACCACGCTGAAGTTCTCCAAAGGTGATCGCCTCTTTGTGCTGGACACGTCAGGCGGGGAGTGGTGGTACGCCCACAACAACACAGAGATGGGATACATTCCGGCCGCTTACGTCACACCGGTCAACTTCAGGAACTCTTCGCTGAGCGACAGTGGGATGATCGACAGCCTCGGGGAAGGATATGAGGATGGGGGAAAGGAGTTTGGAGGTCTTGGGGAGTGGATGGGGATGAGCCTGAAGCCCTCCACCAATTACAACACTACTCCATTCTCTGTCAACCCTTTTATCTGTCCCCTAAACCAAAACTCTAAAGACGTCAGTGCCAGGAACTCTGCGGATATGATTTACTTGGACTCTCTGGCATCGCCGTCGTCCTGTTCTAACAGTTTTACGTTTGTGAGCAATGGGTTTAACGACATCAGCTCAACCAACCCGAACCAGGAGGCCACTCCCAACTTCCAGAGAGAAAATCCTTCATTTAAGAGCAAACGTTCCCACAGTTTATCGGAGCTGTCCGTCCTGCAGGCACAGTCTAATCCAATGCTACCTTCATCTGGGTTCTTCACAGGCCTGACAGCTCCGCTACCAGAACAGTTCCAGAGCAGAGAGGACTTCAGGACTGCCTGGTTGAACCACAGGAAGCTAGCTCGGTCCTGCCATGACCTCGACTCTTTGGGTCAGAGTCCAGGATGGGGTCAGACCCAACCAGTGGAGACCAACATCGTTTGTCGGCTGGACTACAACGGAGGAGTTGTTCAGCTCCCTGACACCCACATCAGTGTACACATTCCTGAGGGACACGTCAGTCATGGAGACTTCCAGCAGATCTCCATGAAAGCCTTACTGGACCCCCCTCTAGAGCTGAACACCAACCACTGCTCCACTGTGAGTCCCGTGGTGGAGATCAAGCTCAGCAACATGGAGACTAAGTCGTTCCTGACCCTGGAGATAAAAATATCAGTAGCAGTGAAGAAGGAGAGCTGTCACGCTGCCGATGTGCTTTGTGTGCGCAGCGATTGCAAAGAAGGGCCTTACACCCCAATACCCAATGCCTATGTCTACAAAGACACCGTCCAGGTTCAGCTGGACAACCTGGAGCCCTGCATGTACGTGGCGGTTGTAGTTCAGTCGCAGTACGTCAGCCACAATACGACTGTCTGGGACCACATGCAGAGAAAGGTCACTCTGGGTCTTTATGGACCCAAACACATCCACCCTTCCTTCAAGACAGTCGTAGCCATGTTTGGGCATGACTGTGCCCCCAAAACCTTGCTGGTGAATGACGTAACATGGCAGGCAGGCTCCACTCCGCCGGTGGCGCTCCAGCTATGGGGGAAGCATCAGTTTGTGCTGGCTTTCCCTCAGGACCTGAAGATCGGGCTGTATTCCAACATGTCCAGCTACCAGGTGAAGGCGAGCGAGGGAGCCGGGATCATTCGGGGATTTCAGGTAAAGCTGGGGAAGGTCAGCAGGCTGCTCTTCATGATCACCTCGAACAACCCCAGCGATATCTCCGACTTTACTCTCAGGGTCCAGGTTAAGGACGCTCTAGACTGCATCCTGACCCAGTTCTGTGTCCAGACTCCACAGCCGCCACCGAAAACAGGAGCGAGGATCGCAGGCCAGCGGCGGTTCCTTAAAAAGAGAGAGGTGGATAAAATTGTACTGTCGCCTTTAGCCGTCACGTCAAAACACCCCAAGTTTCAGGATCGGTGCATCACTAACCTGAAGTTTGGTAAACTGATTAAAACGGTGATCAGGCAGCATAAGAACACATATCTGCTGGAGTACAAGAAGGGGGATGTTATCGCCTTACTCAGCGAGGAGAAGATCAAACTACGGGGGCAGCTGCGTACCAAGGAGTGGTACATTGGATACTACCAGGGAAAGCTGGGGCTGGTTCACGCCAAGAACCTTTTAGTCCTCGGTAAGGTCAAGCCTATATACTGGTGCGGACCAGACCTCTCCACCACAGCGCTGTTGGATCAGATACTGAAGCCTTGCAAGTTTCTCACCTACATCTACGCCACGGTGAGGACGGTTCTGATGGAGAATGTGGGCAGCTGGAGGGCGTTTGCAGATGCTCTGGGATACGGAAACCTGCCGCTGAATTATTTCTGTAGGACCGAACTGGACAACGAGCCGGAGAAAGTGGCGTCGGTTCTGGAGAAGCTGAAAGAGGAATGCACTAACATGGAGAACAAGGATAGGAAGTCCTTCCAACGAGAACTCATGATGGTAAGATCAGTTCAATATATTAGATATTTTATTTTTTATGTCGTTTTAAAGTCTAAAGATATCTCAAACTTTATATTTTGTTTAAAGTTGTAGGGAATCCGAATTCTCCCGAGTGGTGCACAACTTTACACGAGTGAATAAAGTGAATGTGATTGGTCGTTTATCAAGGGGGCGGGATTATTGTGGCGGAAGGTTCGCAAGCAAGTTTGATTGAGTGTCTCAGGGGCATCTTGCTAACCAGTTAGCAACTTAGTGGTAATAGGTTCCCAATGGGAAATTATTTTGGGACCAAGTAGCACTGTCAAGGAATGCTATGGACAGCAGAAACATGCAAGAGGAGGAGAGTTTTGTTTTCGGAGGTCATGGATGAGTCTCCTCCATCATACATTTTTATTTAGAGGAGGAAAGCGGGAGGAAGATGTTGTGGAAGAGGATGCCAGGGCGGCAGAAGCTTGGTTTCGTGTAGAAGGCTTCCAGCCGGACATGTTTGAGCCCTTGCCTCGCAACGCTGCCAGTTCTGTTAGCTCTACGCCTGCTGAAGACACAGACGTCCATCCCCTGGACACTGGGACGGAACTCAATGGGAAAGGAAATGATTCTTATTTCAACCGTTGCGTATATTAGCTGCGACATATCAATCAAGATGCTATGACGAAAACATTTTGATTGACAGATGAACGTGGATATATGATTGGCCGAATTTAGGTGTTCAGGCTGACATATAACTAACTGGCCTGCATAAAATAACGGGGGAAAAAACAAAAACCAGATTTTAGGACAGGATTTTTTTTTTTAAAAGAGAAATATCGACAATATTGTCTGAAAAGGGGGAGATTTATATATATATGTTTAAGCCAGAGTGATTTGACATTTAAACATGACTTCCCTATGACTTTAAAGCAGAGGCGATGATTTTTAACTGTTTCTATAGATAGTTCTAAATTTCAGATCCTTATTCAAACTTTGGGTGCTTTTTTTTGTTGTTTTCTTATTTTATCAGGGAATCATTCTTGTTTAAGAAGCTCATAAACTGAAAAAAAAAAGTGTTTGTCGAAAGAAAATCCCTAAGATTCCCTGGAGATGTAAAGCGTACCAGGTTGTTATTCCAAATAGAAAACTTCTTTCCCCTCCGTTTTACTCCAAGGTGAAATACCAAGAAGTCTGTGTCGGTGAGATTCATTTAAAGTTTGCTATAGACACTAACTGCACTGTGGAGCGGTTGGTTGCAACGTCACCGTGCAGCCTGGGGTCTCTGTGGGGCTTTTTGGGGCTTGGGGTATGCACAGTCCCACCTCTCTGGGTACTCCAGCTTCCTCTAGTCCAAAAACAGAACTGTGAGGTGAATAGGTCTCCCTGAATCATGCTTAGATGTGAGTGTGTGTGATTGGTTGTTCATCCTTTGTGTCCTTATGTTCCCCTGTGATGGACTGGCGACATTGCGAGTTAAAAATTTTAATATTCTGCCTGCATGCCATCCAAAGTCATTTTAAATTAGCAAATATCAGATGCCGGGGTGTAGATGAATGCAGAGCATGAACTAGGTAGGAGCTCCCTGCTGTGTTTTGACAGCAGGAGGGAGTGTGGGATTAAACCGCTCTGGATTAAAAGAGCAAAAGCCCTTTTGAAATTGTTTTAGAGTTAAAGTCACAGGTGATTGTTGCTACAGAGGCCCAACATTTAACATCTAAAAACGTCAGCAGTTTGCTTTTTCTTTTGGTTCAAAGAGAAGGAGGAGTTATGACCAAAAGCTTTGGACACAGAGAGGTTTTAACAGTAACCATTCTGCTGAAATGCAGTGAATGTAAAGACCGACCCAGACAGAACACATCTGAACATAGAGCTAAAAGACAGAAATCTTGTTCTATAAAATGTTAAAACAGGTATTCTCTTTCCCAGCTTGGTTGCATTAGAAGAATATAGAGCTGCTATTTTTATTTTTTATTTTTTTTTTGCCAAAATACATTTAGGATGTAACTGTTAAGATCTGGAGGGAGGGATAAACCACCCGGTTAAAGCAAAGCCACAACATTTCACCTGTTGTTCATAATCACCATCTGAATTACATATCTTTGCTGTTCATTTAAATCTAGTGCAATGGAAAAACTTAAAGTCGTAGGGAAGTCATATTTAAATGTCAAATCATTCTGGCCTAAACATGTATATAAATGTAGTCTTTATCAGACCATATTGTTCCAAAATTTAGATAATTTTGAATAAAAAAAAAAAAATCCTGTCTTAAAATCTGTGTTTTTTGTTTCGTTATCTTATGCAGGCCAGTTAGTTATACGTCAGCTTGTACACCTAAATTCGGCCAGTCATATATCAATGGTCATCTGTAAATGTATATGTTGCAGCTAATATACGCAACGGTTGAAATAAATAAATAATAGAAATAATTTCCTTTAATCATTCCCAGTGTTCACAAGGATGGAACAGAACTGGCAGCGTTGCGAGGCAAGGGCTCAAACATGTACGGCTCTAAGCCTTCTACACCCAAACCAAGCTTCTGCCGCTGACTAACCCACGACCTACGACATAAAACTCTCCTCCTCTTGCATGTTTCCACTGTAAAATAGCGTTCCTTGACAGTGTCGTTGCTAAACGAGGGGGAAGTGTGCAGACAAAAAGCAGCTGTGATTGGTCCTTGGTATGGTCCTTGGTGGTCGTCCTTCTCGATTCGGTGCCAAGGAGCGCCATTTTTAAAGACAGAGGAGTAATAACAACAATGGATAACCATGACGAAAGGTTTAACGAGAAGGTTTGGAAGTACAACCACTTGTATGATGCCTCAGACATGTTGTTTTGGATAAATAACACTCCCGCTGGCGCCGCCGCAGAAGTTCTAAATAGCCTCCCACTTGCGCTTTGGTGGGAAACTGCTGTGCGTCCCTAGAAATTCCAGACGGACATTGCAGAAGCATACCAGCAGAGCTGGTACGCGACCAGACGCATGCAGCATTTGATGTGTGCGGTTGCAGAAGTCTAATCCGCCCTTTAGTCACCAATTTAGTGCTATTTGGTACCAATGAAATTTCCCATTGGGAACCTACTAGCAATAAGTTGCTAACTAGCTAGCAAGATGCTTCCAACAAACCGGCCTCAACCAAAAGCTTGCAAATGTTCTGCCACAACAATCCCGCCCCCTTGATAAATGACCAATCACATTAACTTTATTCACTCGTGTAAAGTCAGGAGAATTCAGAAATGCAATGGTTGGAACAGCCGCTTCCCTACGACTTTAACATGTTATTTTGTAATAACCTAATAACGATTGAATGATTAATTACTCACACTGCCTCTGACTAACTGGATTAACTTTGCATCCCAGCAGCAGAGACTGACTCTACAGAAGTTAGAAAATGTGATTGCTCCAAAAAGAGTTAAATTGCTGAAAAATATTTTATTTATATAGTTGCGCATTTCTGCACAATTTCTAGTTAACTTCCCTATGTATTTCAATCACAACTACTATGAAAAAGATGTCATATTTAATTGGGAAAATGGTAGGATTGCACTTTGTTAATTTGCACTGCGGAGTCGATAGAGGCGGCGATCTGGGTAGCAGCAGAACTCCAGCAGGATGATGACCTCTCAGCCTCAGAGGATGTTATTTACGTAACAAGCCTGGTTTTGGATCTCAAGCTGGAATTCCACAATAAATAATTCAGCATTTGAAACCCGGGGGGGAAACGATCTGGGTCACCTACTCAAAATGCACCTTAATCAATTTTCATCCTGGTTTCATGCCTGGTCAGTGAATGCATCTCAGCCAGAGCATCTCTAAAGAGGGACGGACACCCAGTGATACAAAGGTGTTTAAATGTGGTAGAGAAACTGAAATTGTTGAGGTCGAACCGAACCCAAACTTCTCTTTTATGGGTTCAATCTCTCCGCCTCTGCTGGATTTAGGAAATACGCTCAGATATTAATGTTTCCTGTTTGCAGAAATCAAGCTAAGAGATATGGAATCCTGATTAAAGAGAAACAAAAACTCCTCTTTTTGAGCCATTTTAGGAAGAATGTGTTTGTAGGTTTTTTGGTCAAAAATAATTAAAATGTTTGTCAGTACTGATACTTTATGAGTTTCTGGAGGTTTAACTAAATTCTCCTAATTTCCTCCCAGAATCCTATATTTTTTTACATCAGAATCTATTGTTGTATAAAAAAATACTCATGCTTCAGCCTGAGGTGGCTCACATGGAAAACTAGGATTCCATTTGAAGGGGTCCTGAGAATGCTTTTATCCTAAAGTAGTTAAGAGGAGTTCCTGCTGTTTGAATGTTGATGGAGTCGATGAAGTGTGCAGCCCTGAGCAGCTCTAGATGCATTTTCCCTCACAGGGCATCTCACCTGTGACCGCTGCACCTTCCCCTGCTCTCCGTCTCATAATCCGACGCAGGCTTTTATTCTGCCAGCTGCACAGAGGCTTTTTAACCCTCCAGGTCCGGCTTCCTGTCTCTGGATCCTCCGTTTTATTAAGTTTACTTCAGAATGAAATGGTCCTTTCTGTGGTTTTGTAGTTTCCTCTGAAGTCACAGCAGCTTTCATCAGCAAAGACGACAGAGGCGTTGGGCCGCTGACCTTCCTGTAGTTCAAAGGGTTCCAGGCGCCGTGATGCTTATTATGTCACATCTGAGGAATCATGACTGAAACCTCTGTCTCTAAACTGGATTTTATTTATTATCTGCTGGAAAACGCATTTAAAGTTACTGCTGGGGATCTTTAAAGGAAATATCTAATAGTTATCTAATTTTATAAATTCTTAATCTACTAAAAACCAGCACAATGAACCATTTTTTTACTAGGTTCTTCTACTAGTTATGAAATCTTAATTTAAATTACAAACGTGAATAGGTTCAAATTTTTAAGAGGGAAATACTTCACCATTTTTTTAAGCTTTTGCTATTAAAATGTACAATATTTAAACTTAATATATTTCATTTAAAGGTCTAAAAGTAGGATTTTTCCTGAAGAGGTGGAAGTTATGTGTCTGCAGTTTA